GCTCATTATCGAAACACACTTCTTTTAAGCTAGACAGAAACAAAATAAAACAGAACTCAGTATAAGCGCTGGTCCCACCTGTAAAGTCCTTAAACTATGATTGCTGTCAGAAAACAGCACCCCCATACCCCCCCATACCCCCCCATCCTCAGTCACACCTCCCCCTGCAGCCAGCTGCTCCCAGACTCCTCAGTTCTCCTTCACCAGGGCCAGCCAGACCTCAAAGGAATATGAAACACCGAGCATGCAGGAGAAACACACAGCCGAGGTGACTGATTGAAATTCACAGTGGGAGCAATTCCAATCTTTTGCATGCTGTTTCTGGCCGCCTGGCTTTCGAGCTTGTTGTGGGGGAAGAGTGTGACTAGCAGATGTATCACCGTGCAGCTATACTGCAGAGGTCTTCTCTGGGGTGTTCAGTGGTGGGCAAGCTCTGATTGTTTGGTATCAGCGTATCAGTGGCGGGCAGGGCTTCCACTGACTCACGGATGATCCATTAGGGTTCATCAGCACCGAAGCACAGTTCACGTTGTATTGTTAGACTGCGAATTTTACCCTTTCACTTGCCTTTACTTTTGCCTGTCAAATGAATACAGCTCTCCATCTGTTATAAAAAGTTGCCAGTGTTTGAGTCACTTAAAAGTCACTCTAAGAAATCCTTCAAGTCCGATCTGCGTGGAGAATATGACCTCATCCTCAGCAGACAGCTGCTTCTTTTTATATCCACTTCCAAACTTAAAGGCAAAGCAATGACGGTTGGTCCATTGGTCAGTCAGAGTGCATGATGTATCAAATCCTACTGGCCCGTTGGTATGTCATGTACTAACACTTGTGAACCCTTTGAACTAGCCAGCTCTCCGCTAGTTTGCTAGATAGTTTGCTAATTCCACCATCATTTAAAGTCGAGATAAAATGAAATATTATTTTTTAATTCTTTAAGAGCACATTCCTGGTCACATTGGGCAACTTTTGTTCCTGTTAAACAAAATATAAAGTGTGCTTAGGTAAGGTGGTACCAAGCGATTTTACCCAATAATATCAAGACATCCATCGATTAATCTGCAACTTTAGTTACAACGGAGGTGTGTGTGTCAGTGTGTGTGTGTATTCTATAGCGGGGACAAGGACATGTACAAAGAGGCACAATACAGGTTTAGTAAGGCGGTGAGAGACACTAAACAACTGTACTCTGAGAAACTGTAACACCAGCTCTCAGCAAGTGACTCTGCTTCTGTCTGGAGAGGTCTCAGACAGATAACAAACTACAAACCTAAAACCTCTCACTCCATGAACGACCTATGCCTGGCAGACAAGCTGAACGAGTTCTGGTGTAGATTTGAAAGACAATGGGACAGTCCTGACCCCACCCCCCAGGGCTCCATCAACCAGCCCCAGAACACCAGGCCCCCCTCCCCCAGCTCAGCAAGGTCTCATGTTTCTGTACCACTCATTAGTCCATCCTCTGCTCCTCCATCACCGACTGGTACGCTGCAGCCACTGCCAAGGATAAGGGCAGACTGCAGCGCATCATTCGCTCCGCCGAGAGGGTGATTGGCTGCAATCTGCCATCCCTCCAGGACCCTGAAGCGAGCAAGAATGATTGTAGCCGACCGCTCTCACCCTTGACATAAACTGTTCGTGCCCCTTCCATCTGGCAGGAGGCTGCGGTCCATCAGGATCAAGACCTCACGCCACACGAACAGTTTTTTCCCTTCTACAGTCGGGCTCATCAACAAAGCCCGGGACCCCGACTGACTCTGACATCCCCAAGACAATTTCCTACCGGTCACTCTCCTGCACATCCCCTCTGTTTATTTATTTAAATACACTTGACACTTTTAACATTACACTTCATCATACTTGTTTATTGTACTGTTATCTGTTTGTTGTGCGCTTTATTTTATATTATTTTATATTCTATATATGCACTGTGTTGATTGTTGTTGATTGTTTGTTATGCACCACCCGCCATGACAAATTCCTTGTATGTGCAACATGCATTGGCAATAAACGGTTTCTGATTCTGATAAAAGTAGAGAATCTAAAGTGCTTTAACTACCATTTCACTGAGACTTTAATGCTACACTGGTTACAAAATGAGCCAAACAAAGTTGTCACTCATCTGGCTAAAGCAACCGACTCACTGTAAGTCAGTTTAGTTCATAATTTATTATCATACTAACTTTTCTCAAGCACACACGGATTCATTATCTCTTTACAGCCGCAATATAAGACGGAATTCTGGCGGCGTAAAGTCTTAAACCCTGATTAGATTATAAGTGTAGAGCTTTCTCACATAGAAGACACTCTGTCTGTCTATTATGACTTTGGCCACAGAGAGACACTGGCTGCAGTCCAATTTAATTATTTCCTCACAGTACATTTTTCTTTCCAGCAGCAACATTAACTTCTAGCCTGTCTACTTCCCTGACTCACCAACTCTTTAACCCTGCTCTGCTCAGACATGATGGGAGATGTTTGTCAGTTTTTTTGCCCATCGTGACACTTTGGCTTTTTTTCACAACAGATACTGAACTATAGTTACAATTCCCCTTCTAGTCCCAGTGCACTGTGGTCCGTCTGCTCCTCCTGCCACCAGCTACACGTAGATCAATATTTGAGGAGGCTACACAGCAGCAGAGGTGTGTTTGTGTAGCTGCCTATCTCTGTGGGGCAGCCCGTTATGGTGTCAAGTCTGGAGGATTGGAGTTAGCCTTTGGGGGGGAAGCGAGGCTGCTAAGTGGGAGGAGGGTTCTAAGCAGGATGACCTGCCAGCATAGATATTTAATAACTGTCTTAACCCGGACTTCCAGCGGATGTGGTGGAGGGTTGTGAATATGGCTGCACCTTCAACCTCTCACCCCGGAGAAGCTTTCCAGTAAAAACACGAAGGTACGGAGAGGATTTGGGCTGTGTTACACTGTTCAACTCCATCAGACTGTTAATGCTCTGTCACTCTGCCGGGCAAATGCAATCTCAACCCCATAAACCTGAGAGCAGGCTGGCTCAGAGAGTCCCGCAATGGCTTGTTCCTTTTTGTTTTTTTTAAAGGTGTGTGTAAATTGCTTCTGTTTTTTTGGCAGAGCAGCTTTTCCAGTGCTTTCCAAGATTCACAAAGATTCACAGAATGTCCGCTGTCAAATACACTCAGGGCTGTAAAGTCAGCGTTTTCATTTACGGTCAGGTTATGTTAGCAAAAAAAAGCTAGTTTTGATGTAAAAATGAATCTACTTTGGAAATGTACAGTAAAGGTCTTGTAGGAGTGTGGATGTGTAGTGGCGGTACAATGTGCAGTAATGCTGGATTTGATTGACACAAAATGGCCCAATCAGGTCTTTAACCCTGCTCAGTTGTCCTAAAAGTCGCTATTTTTTTCCATTTCATCTTGGAGAAGTTTTTTCCCATATTTTAAAATGATATACACATTAAGATATGTTTGTTGTTAGCATATTGTATCTCTCATGTGTTTAGGCTTTGTAAAAATAGCTTTTTTTGGAAATTGTGTTTTTAGTGTTCTGTGAAAGTATTTTACTCATTTTGTACATATTTTTTTTAACTGCATCTATCTACTGTTATCTTCCATTGATACCTTTCGCCACCGTTTTTATGTATTGCAGTACTCACCAATTTTGTAAATATTTTTGTCTATTGCTCTATACAATTGAGAAGGAAGAGAAAAATGACACATAGAGAATACATTGATGAAAAAGGGCGAGAAAAACAAGCAAAGATGAAAAGAAAAAAAAAAAGATGTCCCTGTGATGCCTTTCTTTTTTCATGCATGCTCTGTTGAAGGGGCTTCACGGTCCTGTACCCAAACCTTTCAATATTCATGAAAACAAATTACAACTTAGCAGAGAGCATTCATCTCTCAGCCCTTGTCCTCTATCATCCTACTTTTCACATTGCATAATTTCTATAAACATTGAGACTAAATAAATCTCTTTTTACCTCTACTTTATCATCCTTAGTCATTTTTTGAAATAGAGGGAGATAGGAAGGGAGAGTTGGAGGGGAGATGAACACAACAAATAGGCTTTTACATTTTAAGAGGGAGCTGACAGGAGAAAAATAAACATTCCTTTAAAGTCCCCTTCTTCCTCTGTATGTCCTTAGTTATCATACGATCTAGTGGAATAAACATCGTATATAAATAAATACAAAAATTCAATGTATATATAAAGTCACCAGAATCAAACCTGCTGCCTGAATGCATTGAATTGCTGCCATGTGAATGGCTAACCTGTATATACATATACAACTGTATATTGCCATTACTTAGTGATGGGACATTCTGTGTGAACAAGCAACATAGTGAAATGACATTTTAGTGCATTACCTGACGGCACCACAGAAACAAGAGAGAGGTCAACTCCATGTTGTTTGACCTTGAAAGTAGATCTTAGAGTATTACAGTTTGCTATGATACAGTGTAGAGTCTGGGGTGTTGGGATATGTAGTGTTTGTCTACATTCAGTCAGGAATAGGCGATATTTAACTGTGGGCCTCACATTTTCTACATAGCAAAAAGTGATTTACTTCCTGGCAGAAAACTAATGTTTTCTCAGACAGAGGACAAATTAATAATTAAAAAAAAAACATTGTGTACGTACCACAAGGAAGGGCATGTGCATTTATATTTGTGGGGAGTATTTATGGAATAATTAAGAAATTAAGTGAAACACAACTATGAAACAATCAAGAGGATGTAAAAAAGGTATGTTTTTGAGAGGTCTTCTGTCTTTTCTTCTGTGTTTTTGAGGGGCCTTCTGTCTTTTCTATTGATATATTAAGATGGTTATTTATGCCATCAAAGATAGGACCTTTAGATGTTTTTGACTTTTGTCTACTCCATAAGAATTTAGTTTATTTAGAATTTTCTGTACATGTTTACTGTTCATTTTATATTCTTGTTTGGTGTTCTAATTATTTGTAAGTAATTCAGTAAATGCTGTATCTCTCTTTCTCTCTTTGCTTTCCCTCCGATCTTTTATCCCCAGACACTCCATGCAGCAGCAAACCAACAAAGCCATCACCAGCACAAGCCAACTCATCAAACAGCTCTCTGATATAATCAGTGGCTCTTCACGGGTACCCCATGCTCCCCTTCCTCCCTCATTCACTCATTTTGAAGAATAAACAGTGGATTAAACAACATTAGAGCTAATTAAGTTTAATCTTGCTTTGTTGCACAGCAAGACCGTCTGCACCTGACCAGACTAAAGACCGAACTGTCAGAGTCTGTGCAGCGCTATGGGGATCTGCAGAAGGTATTCACATGTATTTACTTTCAGTCAACATATTCTTATTAATCAGATGCTCCACTGACGGAAAGTTGTTCATATCTTAAGTGCTAATTGTTCCACATACATGGAGGAATAAAAACCATCTGATCTCTTTAATGAGGAAAAACTCTTCTGAACTCTGCCTCTTCATTTGCTCCTCTTTCAGAAAATTGCAGAGCGTTCAAGGGCCTTGCTCCCTCCAGCACAGACAGACAAGAAGAAGGTGAGCTGATGAGAACCTTCCCTTTGTTTCACTGTCATTCAGAAAAGAGCAGCTTGATGAGATGACATTTCTCTGCTTGATTGCATCCTCACAAGGGCTCTTTTGAAGCTCTGTCTGGTCTCTTCCACTCAGTTATATTACACTGGACTCCATTCATCACATCCAACTCTTATGCTCTGCCTTTCTTTTTTTACATCACAATCTAAATTGGTTATTGGCAGGAGTTTATTTCCACTGTGTAGCCCTGTGAAAGCTTATAGATAGACGGGGTGTCTGCATAAGAAGGACCCCAGTCCCTTTCACACAGTGAGGCATACAGCTTATTAATTAAACACTGGAATCGGACCAGTGCTCTGTATTGGGACTGAAGAAGTTGGATAAGTTGGTATGCACCCATAGACAGAGTCCGGCTGTAGCTTCATATTTAGCGTACCGACATGAAAGCAGTATCAATCTTCGAAATCTAACTCTTGGCAAGAATAAGCGTATTTCACAAAATGTCAACCTTTTATGTTGTAAATAGTTACACATGAATAGTATGACCACCGGTATCACTAAGGAGAAAGCTCTGAGTTCAGTTCAGCAACGGAACAGCACCTCTGTGACTCACTCAACAGTACTTCAGTGTTTGGGAGGTTTGAACTCTTTTTGATTGAAGGACCCATCTTGTACACCACCTTGCCGCTGAGCTGAATGGAAAAATCATTTACAGCATCAACTCCTCAACTGGTTGGACAGTAACAATTCTGTGAAGAACCACTTTGCCCACAAAGAGCCTCTAAAAATCCATCTTTTCTTTACAGAGAAGAGAGTCATATGTATTAGGGTTTATGTCCCTCTGCAAGGTCCTGTACTGCTAGAGGTAAAAGGGTTTGGGGGTGGCGAGCTGTATGGTGCGTTATATAAATCTGACTAACCACAATGCATAGCAGCAAGTTCACTAATCAGTGACTACACTGTGGAAGAATAAATTGGTCAAACTACCGCTACATCCAGTATGAGCAGTGGCAGTTGGAGAAGAGTCTGTGTTTTTCTGCTGTGGAAAAAAAGTGGTTACATTTTTCTGTACACAGACAAATGGTGAGAGGCGTCCTGACGGCTGATGCAGATACACACATTTGCACTTCAGATATTTTGCAGATCAATGCAAATGTTAATGACGGCTTTCCACCCACATCTTTGAATCCACGTCATCAGGGTCAACTGGAATCGACTGCAGGAAACAGAAGAAACTATGAACTGTTCATATGAATTTGTACAATAAGGTGTCAGAATGATTGTCTTGAGAGTCTCCCCCATCTGTGTGATGCACTAATATATTCTACAGTGTGTGCTGGGCAGTATGCATGTGGAGGAGTGAGCATGACGTTACAGAGTTTGTTGAGGAGTGGTGAGTCAGATCGTGGTCAGTAGACAGGACGCCGTGACTCAGTGCGCGTTGGTCCTTGTGCGGTGACCCACACCGACCCCCTCTACCATGAATTAAGCTGTGCAGTCAGCCATACAAAGGTGGAACATATTAGCAATGCAAACAAAAGTCAACCAGGCCTTTTCTTTGCCTATAGGTTTGAACATGTAGCAACCAGTACACAAGTACAGAGTGTACAGATTTGCATGGATTACCATCCACGTTCTCAGATAACCCCTACATTTCTAAGCACTGGGCCAAAATCCACTGTTGAAATATCAGTACCTGGCTAAACTTAATGGACATTAAAAATTCAACGTTCCAAAGGCATTGAAATACGATGGAGAATGTGGACCCTCTCTCGGTCACTGCTTTGGCCTTAATGGTCCTTAATGGAAAGGAAAAGGAACTTTTGAACTTGAAGAACATTAGCCACGTTTGCACCAAGGAGTTCCTGGTCATTTTAGTCCAGGACGACTTTTCATGGAACTAAAAGGTTCATTCATCACATTGTTGTCTGCTTTCCAATAGCGGTCTGAAGACTGACGAGGTCACAGGGTTAAACGCACTCTGCAGCCTGAAGTTCAGTGTGTCCGCCTGTTACATCTAAAATATAAGTTGATAAATAGAAATAAACCTGGTTTTGTCTCACTGCAACAACATGAACTGCTTTATGGTGCTTACTGTTGTAATTACTGGATGTAATGAATGAAATGCAGAGGAGGAAACTGAAACTAAGAGAGTCTGTCTATCAAAGTAAACCATCTATTGAACGTTTGATGGTTAGATGTTGTTGCTGAGAATGTAACCAGAGTCAAACAAGCAGAGAATACGTTTGTATTTGTCTCATTCACAGCACACACAGCTGTCTCTCTCCCCTCTACCACTCGCTCTCTCTGCTTGCTTGCGCTCTCTCTTACTTAAAATGCTAAAGCTTTCTTTTATTTATGAGAATGCATCAACAATGATTTGTATGCAAAATCTGCCAAGTAACTACAGCTTCCCAATACACAATATTTCCCCTCGAATAGCAGCAAAAAAATGGAAATACTCAAGCCAAGTAGCTCAAGCCATCCTGCAGCAGTACTATAGTAATACATTAAGTAAATGTACTTAGTTACATTCTAGCACAGAGAATCCAACATTGTTGGATTCAGTTAGACTAAGGCTACATCCACACTAATACGTTTTCGTTTACAAACAGAGTTTTAAAAATGATCTCTGTCCAGACTAAAACGCCTGAAAACGAATATCACGTGACTCTTCACGTACACTGGGCATGCAGGTGGGTGCCAGTGTAAACAGGATGTAGATTGGTTGCTTAGTTAAAAAAAAGACAGAGTAATAAAGTAGTCTTTAATAAAGAAAGGTCGTGTTTGATACTTAAGATCTTCCTCTATAAACTCAGACACATTTTGTGGTTTTATTTTTCAGACTTAATTACAACGCTGCAGGTTTTGCTCTATTTGATGAAAGTCATTTTAAAATAAGCATTAATAAGGAAAGGCAAGTCCTCCGTTTTGTGTCCGTCATCCTCCTCAGAGCCACTAACCGTGACTTCAGACGTCCGCTCCGTAGCGCTGATACACACTGGACACGCCGCTCGCTAATCGCTCCAATAACAGCTGCAGACTTTAACTGGACAACAGCTGGTAGTAAAGACAACACGGTCAGCAGCACCTGTAATCAGTTGTCCATGTTGAATTAACCTGGTAGTCGATTGGTAATCAATGTTGTTGTTTGTGATTTTCCGGGAAATGGTCACGTGATATGGGCGTGACGAATCAGGGAAGGACACGCCGTGACTGCTAAGAACCAGTGGTGTATAGTAACGAAGTAGAAATACTTCGTTACTGTACTTAAGTCGTTTTTTTGGATATCTGTACATTACTACTTATATTTCTGTTGACTTTTACTTTTACTTCACTACATTTTGCAAAGAAAACTGATACTTTTACTCCGATACATTTCCCCTGAAACCTTCGTTACTCGCTACAAAATCAAATCCATCTTTCGAAAAAAAATGAATCATGGTGGAACAGAGACTGCAAGCAAGCAGGTTTGGCAAATCAGTGGTCCTAGCTTGCAAGTTAAATCATTGGTTAATCACGTTAATGCACAATTACAAACAAGTGCTCTCAAAGTCGCTGTGTTTTGATTCCCAGTGATGCCCAGGATGATATATGCTATAGCTAGCGAGCGACTACATGTAGAATTCCACTCTACGATGACTGATTTCATGATGGAAGCAGAAATGGAAGCACCTGCTACTCACACAACAAACGACGGTGGTGACGAAGACCAACACCCGTGGATCGCTAGCGAGTTAGTGAGCTGAGGAAGTGTTGACAGTTATAGCTATAATTATTGCAGCACTAGTTGGCTAACGTTAGCTAGCTTAACGTTAGCTAGCCACCACACCATAGGATTGACAGGAGCCACGAGAGCACAGCATTAGGGGAATCCTTCCCAGCTGTGCGCAAGCTGTCTGAGAAGCTGAACACACCTCTACCTGCTTCAGCGGCCTGTGAAAGGCTATTTAGCATCGCAGGACTAGTCTTCAGCCAAAGAAGAGCGAGACTGAATTCTCGCAATTTTGAAAACCAACTTCTTTTGAAGATGAACAGGACATTGTTCAGTTTCAAATAATGACTGGGTTGTTACTTTCGGTGCTGCTTTAGTATTGATCATCTTTTGATATTTGAGTCATTTTGTGGATGATCAGATGGAGTTATGATGGTAGCAGTCGCCCAGTTGCAGATTCAGCTTGAGCAAAACCTTTGCCTATTGTGTTCAAATCAGGCCCATAGGAGTTTACAAGGCAGGTGTCCTTTCTCACAACACTGACCTGATGCATCAAGTGGATATTTGTTGCTGAACACAATATTATGCATTTGGCCTCTACATCCTCTAGTCGGAATGAGCATACTTATAAACGCACTGTTACAACTCCTTCATAGTGTCATATTGCTTTTCGGAGAATGATAAGTTAGTAGTTGCAAAAGTATACTTATGTACAATATATTATGTTGAACATTGTTGCTCCTGGATGGATCACAGCCAATCCAATTATTGTCAACACAGCTCCATGTCCTTGGTCATGGTGGCCACAGCACTTAAAAGAATAAACTTCATAATTCTCAAAATTCTGACCCTTTGCTTTTTTATTAACAGCATTTACTTGTACTTTTACTTTCAATACTTAAGTACATTTAATATCAGAAAATTACTTTTGATACTTAAGTACAATAAATATCAGATACTTTAAGACTTTTACTCAAGTAGTATTCTAATAGGTGACTTTTACTGGAGTAATTTTCCAGTAAGGTATCTTTACTTTTACTCAAGTATGGCTTTTGGGTACTTTATACACCACTGCTAAGAACCAATCAAGTAGCGAACGCGGGAGTCTACGTCATCGTTTCCAAACTTATGTGTTTACGCTCGTCCACACGAGGAGGTAACCCCGGAGATTTTAAACGTGTCCGTCCTCGGGAGAGTTTTAAAACTCATCCGTTTTTGGTGCTCTGAAACTCCGGCGTAGTGTGGACGCTCAGTGTAAACATAGCAAAACATATATGTGTTTTCAAATAGAAAGGTAGTAGTGTGAACATGGCCTGAGTGTCGAACATAGGTATATACTGAGTATATAGATGATCAGTATTATATTGAAGTGAAAAGAAAACTGATTGCAAATGAGCAGTCATTTAGCCTCTGGAATTTGATCTACATATATTACAGAAATGTCATTTGAACTAAATCCAACCCATTGCTACCAGAGGCCTGAACAAGTCTTGTTGAACAGTATGGTCCTGTTCTATGGCTGCTGTTCTCAGGTCTGTGTGTCAATGACCCCCTCTAAGGCCTTTGCACTAAACGTTAATGCTGTAGCCGGTCATGGTTATGCTAACCACGATATACACAGTTGATAAACACCAAATTCAAAATACTCGCCTGTGAATATTTCGCATCAAAACTATTCAAACCAGCAACGATGCGACAGTATATAATCAAATTGAATGTTTGTTTGTGTGTGTGCCACAGAGTCCTCAGACCCCGTTCACTGAGCAGATGGAGCAGGGTCCACTGTTTGGAGAAGCAGTAGACTCAGAGGAGGTGGCTCAGGCTTTCCTGTCTGAGATCAGTGAGGAGGACGTGGAGGTGCTCCGCCAAAGAGAGGAGGCCCTTCTGCAGATCGAAGTAAGAACACTGACATCCCTTCAGCTTTATATCTTTATACATTTATACACCTCAGGTGTCCCGTGTGCAGCCAATGAGAGGCTTCACAGGAGCAGCTGGGGATCAGAAGCCTTGCTTCAGGGCATCTTGTCTGTGATTGCGCCACACTTCTAACAAACTGTAAAGGCCTGAACAGTTTCCACCGTCAGTATAGTTTGTGCCTGACTCAGGTTATAATGATCATGATGAGCGACAATGGGCCCCGAGACACAGACACTTAAACTCCCCCCCCCCCTTCGTACAGAGCAGCAGCCTTCCTGTATTGCATCTTGTTCAGGTGGATGCTGTGGGCTGAAAACAACGGTCAAACTCCATATTTTGTTGATGCTGGAGCCTCACTGAGTGACTGGGGGAAAACAAGTGGCAGCCTCTCAGCTCCGGAGCTGAGGAATGAATCCAACACGAAAGCGCCCTGAACTGCAGCTCATCCAATGGCCGCATGAGGCTGGCCGTGTGTGTGGTGTTGTTGCCTTGTGGTTAATATTTTTTTGCAAATATCGGACAAATAATATGGCCTACTGAATATGGCCTATTCATTGTATGCATGATATAAAAGAAATATCATGTCTGACATAGTATTGGCAAACACATTTTCTCTATAACGCAATTGGTTGATGCCTTCATTTGTAGCAAAAGCTCAGAAAACTCAACCTGGATCCAGATCACTTTTTCGCCATGTTATATTTGTGATCTCAGAGAAGGCACTCTTCAAATAAACACTAGTTTAATATCTATGTATTGACCTGTATTGCAAAAACTAGTTGTTTGTTAAAGCCTTAAGTCTGTTAATTTTCTTTTTTTTCTTCTTTTTGTCCCCAGAAAACGATCACAACAGCTGTGAAAGCTCCATTATTGTCCAAAAACTATTAAGAACACATCAATGAGCCACATTCTATCACTGGGAGACATGTTCTTTCATCACCATGAACACACACATTGCAGTTTATATTGACTCAATCCCACATACACCGTCCTGCTACCTGAAATACTCACTAGAGCATCAAATGTCATCAATTCGCTAATGGAAATGGTCCTCAACAAATGCACTTTTTCCTCTTGTCATAGTAATGTTTGTTAACAATTACAGTGACCAGCTGTTCTAGGAATATACTTCAGTCTTCAGTTGGAAACAATGGGCTTGGGAGTGGCACTAGCCATAAAATGTTGAACCTCTGCAGATATATATATTTCACACATGTCCCAGAAGCCAACAAAATGCCACTCACGGTTCACTCTCCCCACTCATGTATTCCCAGCCAGCCAAAATCCAAACCAACAACCATGTGATTATAAGCCTGTTTACCGATGTCCTCCGAGGGCCCCAAAGCTGCTTGCACCTTGTGTCAGATGAGAAATGAGAACCTGTGTTTTCCTGTGCATGTCCTACGGTCTTATACACTACAAATAAGAGGCCCCGGCTATTTACCTTTAAAACAGCTCAGGTATTCCAGATTGAAAACACCTGAAAAACAACAAGGAAAGACAAACTAGGTATTTGTTTTCTTCAAATATTGCCTCCCAGGAGGCCGCCACATGCCAAGTTAGTAACTAGAAACTCAATCCGGCTCCGTCTTCTTCTCCCGTCTCCAAAAGCTTATTAGTATTTTGTCACAGTACCAATGCTGCTGCAGGATATTGAATGCTACCCAATTACTAAGGTGCTTATATAGACTTGTTTGTTCCTTTACCTGGGTAGAGTGTGTATGGAATCATAATGTTTCCACACTTATCTTTTGAAGCCAGCATTAGAGACCACATCATTCTGTTAAATACTGTAAAATCATGTCTAAATATATATAAGGTCAGAGCCTGGATGCCAAACATTAATCCATCCATCCATTCATCCATTATCTATAACCACTTCTCCTTCGAAGGATCATGGGTGGCTGGAGCGGATCCCAGCCGACTGGACGAGGGGCGGGCTACACCCTGGACAGATAGCCAGTCAAACACAGGGCTGACACATAGACAACCATTCACACTCACATTCCAACCCGGAGAAAACCCACCCTGACACAGGGCACCACAGTCGCTAGACTAAATGTTCTTCTGCAAACCACAGGATATGTTGAATCTTGATATTTCTGAGCCCATAATACAATTCACATCAGCCTCGTGGTACATTTTCAGAAATGCTCAATATCACATTCAAAAGTTTCATCAGTACCAATCGTTTCACAGCGTTAAACGATTGGTACTGATGAAACTTTTGAATACTTCGTTGTCCATCTCAGAACCATATCGCCGAGTTAAAGCGGATAGAAGCCAGGCACACGGCACTGCTTTTAAAATGACAGGCCCGTACATGGCGGTCCAGCTTCTCTCATCCAGAGGTTTGAGGACTAATGATAATCTCTTAGGAGCACTTTACAGCATAATGAAGATGTATCCCCGTGCTTAGTCGGAGCTGTCTGAACTCCAATGTTTCACATCGGCTAATGCCACCGCAGGAGCTGAATAGGAGAAGAAGAAAAAAAAAGAAAAGAAAAAAGAAGAGCATCAATCTCTCCCAACAAAGTGACACGCAGTGAAAGAGCGGCGGCAGGAATGACAGCTTCATTTCAGCGCGGCCGCCGAGATGGGCCAGTCAGATGTTTGGTGTTCAGATGGGGTCGTCTGGCCGGCGCTTTAGTCATAGCAGCATGGATAAATGTCATAGTCGGTGCTCAGGCAGGTGCTGAGGGGCTTGCCGCTGTTTCTTCGGGGAGAGTGATGGTATCTGACAATGTGCTTTTCAACTCCACACCAGTCTCCTCGCCTCCGTTCTTGTCATCCAAGCACACAGCAACACCCCCCCCCCCCCCCCAACCCCCTCCTCATCACTTCATACCACTATATCAACAGTGTTTGCCGTGAGTCCCGACACACCTCACTTTTCTTCGCTGCTCCCCTCCCAGATGACAGAGATCCAAGTGTTTGTCATCGTTATCAGCGCCCGTCTCTCTGGAAAGAAAAAAAAGGTTTGATGTGTTCGCAGGTTAATTTTGTCGTCCTCATAGATTGGATGCGTTTGTGTGAACTCCTGGCTGCAGCTTGTCAGTCACGATGCGTAAGTGTTGTTTTTTCTGGGGTTTACAGAGTTTAGCCTTCCGACACCCATGTGTCAATTTACAGCTTGTAACATGCAGATTGTCTTTACAAAACAAACTTCTGTGTTCACAGGAAACAAAAGCTCGTTACTTGCATAGTTTCTTTTAACATCACAAAAGTTGTATAGGAACCACCTAGGTTTTAGGTTTACTTGGTTAGGTTCAGCCAACAGCAGTAATTGGTGAAGTTTCGGAGAAGTTTCTGGTTTGGGTCAAAATAAGTAGGTTTGTTACGCAACTGGCGTCAGTTAAGTAAGTCGGTTACGTAACAAAAGTAAGATAACATAAGTCAAGGTTGACAAACAGCAATCTCCTGGGTGAAAGTCCTGTGTTTCCATGACCTATATTCAACCTGGCTTCCCTCCCAATACAGACTTTCTCACTCTTTAAACTAAATCAGTTGCTCCGAGTGTCCACTAATGACGCAAATGGGTTTACATTGGAGTTAGTTGAAACCCTGGTGCGTCTCATCGAGACTTTAAAGGGTGCGTTGGTATCAGACGCTGTGGGGCCTGACCAAGCGTTGGTATTTGACGGGTTGTGAATGGGAACGGGTTGATTTCTCAGTTCTCTGAATTAAATATGATATATTTCATAAGCTACGTCAGTGTTTGTCAGCTTCTTTTGAATAGTGGACACCTTGTGAAGCGCTTGCATTTATCAAGGACCCCTCCTAGGAGACTACAGGCATCTTCGCTGCACCTGTGTGAGTAGTTCCTTCGACTCAATCATCCTGTTGAATACAGATGGAATGTGAACTGTACAGCCAGCCAGTGTGTTTTCTTTCACATTTGCATCCCATGGACACTGGATAGGTTTTCACTTTAATACAGGGGGGCTACTGTGGCTAAGTGGATAGCAGGGCCGTCTTTCAATCAGAGGGTCGGCGGTTCAATCTCCGGCTCGGCTAGTCGCATGGCCATGCGTCCTTGAGCAAGACACTTAACCCCCAAAATTGCTCCCGTAGCTGTGCCTACGGTGTAGAAATGTGATAGACTCTGAATTGTAAGTCGCTTTGGATAAAAGCGTCTGCTAAATGACAAATGTAATGTAATACCAGCCGTGACTTTCAGGGGTCCATGAATATATCAAACAATATGCAAAACATATTCAGCTAAAAGTGAATGATTATCAGAACAATGAACATGGTATTTAATTATGACCTTCTTACAAGCACACATGTCCTAGATTAGAAATAACGTGATTTTTTGGACATATTGTCCTTGAGTATAGTTATAATATTCCACATGTTCTGACAAGAAATATTCAGAATAATCCAGCCTCTACAGCACTTCCTGCACATCCCAATCCCTAGACTGTCACCTCCCAGCTGCACTTTATATGCTTTGGCACAGGAGATCATTCCATCAAAAATGAATTCATAAAAAAAAACGCATAACAGAGGACAGCTTTCAAGGGGAATCTGAATACAACACCTGGCCGAGTGAAAGAGAAAAAAAAGGCCCACAGCAAAGCGTGCGTGTCTGTCCTACCAATGCGTGCTCAGGACAATCCATCCACAGAGTTTACCCTTGAGTAGAGACAGGTAGAGTGGGAAACACCACATATAAATCATCCCAGTAGACGGACACTACAACTTTTACACCCTCAGCAGAAAGGATCGGCGGGAAAGTGGTTTATTAGCAAAAGCATGTGTTATTAACCCTGGCAATCAAAATCATATTGATTTGTTCTCTCTCTACACATGGAAGCTAATAGTGTGATGGCAGATCACGTACTGCTTACTAGCTCCCTCAAAATGAGAATATCACCCTTCTGTGAAATCCAACCGCTGATATTCCACTCGAACTTGATTATCCACCGAAGTGTATTAATACAGATTTAGGGTTCCACTAATGAGTGACACTGTTC